AAATGGGTTTGGCCATTTACCTTTGTACACACATTTTTTGCTTTATTATATTGTTATTGTTTTTTTTTTCTTAGTTATTTTTAAAGATTTTTATGATAATTTTTAAATGTTTGAAATCTTATAGATTGTTTTTTTTCGTTATTTTATCGTAAAATAATTTGTATGTGTTCAAAGCTATTCGCTAATAACCATATATACATACCTTTATATGTAATTATACATAATTTTAGTAAATAGTCTAGTTACCTCAATCGGTTCATAACAGGTATTTAATTAGATGGACTTTGTTGTTAGTTTTTGTGTGTTTATTGAATGGTTCATTTGTCAGACCAGGTGGTGGTTATGGTAAAATAATGGGGAAAAAAAATTATCAAAAATTATTGTTGAAAGAGTTAAAATTTTTTTTTGTTTATACAAAATACTAATAAGAAGGAGGAGGAGGAAGACTCATGTCTACTGGCGTACAATACGGACAGAGAATGAAGAGGAAGGGAGACATATATAGAAAATTTATTGAAATGTAAAAATATTTGCAAAAAATAATATTTCATTTTGATTTTTTTTACTTTTTTAAATTTTTTTTAATGCTAATGGAATACAATGGGTGCTGGGGCACATGGGCATTGAAGAAAATGTATTGGAAACATGGGCATTGAAGTAAATGTACTGAAACTCCTTTTCTAAGTTCGGAATTTTCCATTTGTGGATTGGAACACATGTTGTTTCAGGAGAATTAACGACGAGAAAAACAACAAGGGGATGTTTGGAGTTCTGAAGGCGTGTTCCAATTTCGAACAAGTCAAAGACCATATTAAAGACTGGCCTTAAATTAGATTCCAGGAAGAATAGAGGCGCATCATGAGAATCCCGGATATTAACTGTAATTTTTAGACAATTACATGCACACGATGGCTCATTTTCGATTAAAGTCTTACAAGTTGTCCGAATTCATTACGGCGTTGAATTCTAGTGCGGTTTTATAAGAAAAATACATCCATATATTCGAAAGTTTTTTAAATAGTAATGTATTAGGATTTTAGAGGCCGTAAAGTTCCGAAAATTCGATCCGAATACTAGGCCATCACAAAAAATCAAAAGAGTTGCCAAATTTCAATTTGAAAGAGACCCACTATTTATTGAAGAACACAACAGAATTTGACCAGATAAGTTTTTCTTAAATTATTTAAATTTATGTAATTTTCAAAATTTGCAAAAATTTTAAAAGTAAACAAAAAAGAAGAAAATAACTTAAAAAGACAGAATTGAACAAAAATTGCAATAAATCTGAAAAACAGAAATGAAAAAAGTAGAAACTAAAAATTTATACTTTAGACCTTGCAAGGTTATTTAATACTACAGGTAAAAATTTTTTTCAAACAGTTTAAATTTGTTGAACAGAAAAAGGCAAAAAAAATACAACCACAAAAACACTGGAAATTTTTTTATTTTTGCAAAACTTCATAAAAAAAAAATGTCCAAGTTTATGTTGATAGAAAGAGAAACAAATAAATTAAGTGTTTTCTTCTTAGTTTCTTGTTTATGTTTATGCCCTCTTTTATTGGTATTTTGTTTTACTTTCTTAACTCTAAAATTATAGTTAGTAACCATTTAATTAAAATTTATATTTTTGCCAATTTAAAATAGAATCGGCATGCTATCTCTTTCTAAAATCGTTGGCTTATGTTAGGAAAATAATAATAATAATTTTTATGAGTGTTCATATGAGTGTTAAAATAGTTATAGTATAGGAATGGTAATAATGGTAATTCCTATCAGAATAATTACTGTTACTTGAACGTTGATATTGTGGTGTATAAAATTTTTATTTAAATTTATGTATATGTAGATTTTATAGGATTTGTTGTTCTTGAAGCAGTTCTTGCCGTTGTCGGTGCCAAATAAAGAAAGGAAGGCTAAAAATTCCTAAGCCATCAAATAGAATTCTTAGAAAAATTTGATCAAATTATTTTTTAAAAGTGACGTACAATGTATACCTTGATGTCGAAAATCTCATTCAATTTTAAAAGTTGCAAATAAAAGTTGATATCACATTTTCTATATCAGTTTTTAGTATCGTAGAGCCTAAAAAAGTGTGTTTCAAATTTGACTTGCTCGAAACCAGTGATTGTATTTTAGGATTTGTTGTTTTATTACAATTCATTTTAGCCCAGGGGATAACCTTAGTTAACCCTGAAGAATTAAATTCTAAACTATTGGTACACGTTCCCAAAAGTATGCAATTATTATTGTCAAACTATTCTTAATTGTTGTACTATAAATTTTCAAATATCATAGAAACAATAATATTTCCATCGAATTATGGGAATTTATCTGACAAATATTTAATAAAAATTGATTGAATAAAATTAACTGGTATCAATACTATCAACAGCATCATAAATTTAATTATGCCTGTTAGCACAATCGCAGCGTTTAATAGAGTCAACAACTGTAATGACTTTCTTTTCTATTTATAGTTGGAAAAAGTCTATATTTAAAATATTTTTTCTTGTTTTTTCTTCGATTTCATTTATATGAATTTTTTTTTTGATCCTAAGAGCTATTTTTAGATTTCTGCATTTATAAATATGCATTTTATCTCTATCCATACATAAATCGCATTCGTATATGCGATCGCATTCTTAATTTTTTATTAGGTTTATAAAAGTAAATAACTATATATATTAAAATTTCATATTATTTTCTTCAATAAACTTGTATAATAAAAATCTATAAAAATATTTTAATATATATTTATGAATTTATGAATCTATATGCATATTATTATAAGTGAAGACCATTCTGAATATCTAATAAAATTTTGTTAACTATATCGCGTAATTAATTAAATGTGACTATAACGTGGCGTTTTTAAAATATTTTTTTAGATAAAAATAAAACTATTAACCAATATTAAAGATATGAGATAGCTATATAAGTAAAGTATTATAAATAAGAAAAAGAAGACTTACAAAAAAAAACAAACAAGAAAAAAAATAAGAAATATGTATAATCAATATAGTCATTAGACATGATCAGACGCATAAAATTAAAAAGAAAAATGAAAGAAAAATGGTTTAAAAGTAGAAAAAAGAAAAATACCAAAGATTAGTTATAGTTAGATGGCTCCTATATTAGATGGTTAGCGCCAGTGAATAATTTAAAATTGAAATCAAAAAAGAAAGAGAAGCAGAGAAAAAAAAATAAAATCTATTTTTATAATGTAGGTATATTCAAAAGTCTTCAATTTGTCATAATTGTATAAAATGTCAAAATTGTTCCTTCATTTGTAACGCAACTACAGTAATTGTAAAAACATACTAAAGCGGTGAACGGCAGCGGCGGACGATTCCCGTTGTTGACACAGAACGGCCAAATTTTTTGTACATTATTTTGAATTATAATATCACATATACATGGTAATAACCGGCAGTTAAATTCGTGGCTGTAATGTGTATTCTATATGAATTTTGACATTTCGCCGCGAAAAATCGCTCTTGTTTTGTTTTTAACTAAATTAATTTAATTTTGTTGCTAACTTAAACAGGACGCCGTACTGCGGTGAAATTTGTTTTTTTTTTCTTATTAGGTAGAGTTCGTAATATTTTTCAATTAATTAGTTTTGGAAAACAACCGCTAAGATGAGTTGGCTCTGTGTGAGTGAGTAATTTTGTATAAAATAAAATAAATTCTCTCATGAATTTTTCTTTTAGCTCTTTAACCCTTTATAACTCAATTCTTGTTTGCTCCTAGTTTTTGTTTGGGTCTTTCGAATATTTGCTCACTTGGTATTTTATTGTTTAGTTTTACATATCTGAAGAAGTCTTAGTTAATCAATTTCGATACAGTTTTAATTGCCGAGTAAAAGTAGATTAAAATTCACATATGTTTTCGTGTTTCGAATTGTTACCAATGTCCATTTTGTACACATTGTCGTGTTTTTCGAACTATTACCAATAAGTGTGAAATAGAGAAATATTGAGCTTTTATTGTAATATCTTAGAATGGATTTGATTAACTCTATATTTTAATAATTTCCTGATTTTCTATACAAATATAGGAATACAATAATTTTCATATATGAATTTGATCGCATCTTCTATATAATTTTTATGAAAAAAAAACAAAAATTTTATGATTTGAATTTAATTATATGTGATGGAAATGATACCCATATACATAGATAGAAAACAAAATCTTTCATAAACTATTAAAAATGAAAACTTGATTTTAACTCTCCCATATCCTATAAAGACGTTCTGTACTTTGGATGTTGTTGTTATTGTTTTTGTTATATAATTGATTAAGACAAGTTATGAATTCCTCTTTTTCTTTTATTTTTATGGAATTTTTAATGACAAATAATATGTAAAATGTATTTTTATGCAAAGGTATATGATGCATATGGCTGTTTGCAAATATACACACTATATTAATATAATCTTATATATGATAAAAAAAACCGACAAGATTATGTGTTTGTCCTGAATTTCATGTTGTATTTTGTCCTAAATTTTATTCGAAGAATTTTTTTAAAAGGCTTGATGTGTTCAGCTTTCATTTTAAATTTTGTAAATATTTTTGTACCTAAGATATTAGGTACAATTTAAAAAGAAGTAGAAACTAATTCTAACAAGCAAAATTTAAGCAAATCTCAGGGTTTTCCTTTGTTGTTAGAACATATTTTGAAAAAATAAAGAGAAATGCAATTGAATGGTGCAATTAAATTGCCTTTATCAAAAATGAATATAAGGGGCCAAAAGGGTTAATAACACGCTTTCTTAATCCAATCAAATTGTATTTGAAAGTAATACTATTTTTACTCACAATACCAATGTTGGCACAGAAACCTTAACTGCATCAAACCATATTAAAAATGTTTTAGAAATTTTTTTAGAAATTTTTGTAAATATTTTGATACCCCGGAAAATAAAGGGTTAATTACCAAAGTATGAAAAAAATTCTTAACTAATTATAAATTTGTTTCTTTTTATTTACAGGCTGCCTATATGATAGTAGATGAAATGCATGCAGAACATCCTGAACTATTAAAAGATCAATATTGGGAAGAAGTTGTGCCAAAAGATTTACCATATACTGTTGCATCAGAACATTATCGTCGTACAGAACCAAAAGGTTCAGCTGAACACTTTAAAGTCAAACAATCAGATGCAGTTTATGCTAATATAATACCAAATACAAAACGTAGTAATTTACCAGAAGAAGTTTATGCTGATTATGTAAGTATCGAGAATTCAATTTTTCTTACTCATATCAATTTCAGATAAAATTTGTAATTTTTCTTTTTTATTTTTGTTTTATTTAGGAAAGCGTCGATACACCAATGGTTGAACGTCGGAAAAATTGGTTTAGTCGTCAAATAACACGTATGGGATCAGCACGAAGTTCATCAACTGCTTATTCATCTGGCGGTTTATTTAATAGAAATCGAATTAATTCAGTTTATTCAAATCCAGAAGCTGGTATTCCATTACCAAATCAAACAAATAATAATAATAGTGGAAATGGTGGTGGTGGTGGTAGTTCACAAGCAGATGGTCCACCTCCGACACGTAAAATGAGTTTATATGATAAATTTGTAAATCGTAAATCGTTAAGAACTCAACGACAATTAACTAAGCAAAGTAAGAAAAAAAAATTTTATTAAAAAACAGAATGAAAACCAAAAGAAACGGATGGGAATTGAAACGAAACAAAATATGTAATTAATTTCTTTGAAAATATTTAATTTCGTTTTTTCTCTCTTTTCTTGTAGATACAAAGCTTAATATGAATGGTGGATCAGGAAATGCTATTTCAAAGGGACGACCACGAATTCCAACACCTGATGTAACTAAAGAAGGTAGTAGTGGTTTTGGTAATAGTAATACAAGTGTCGGTGGTAATGAAAAACCTGGTGGTCGTTTTAATTTATCATTAACAACAAGTTCAGGATTACCAGTTTCACCAGTTGCTTCTGGTGTTGCGCTAATGACATCACAATTAGCTAATACACCGACAATGTATCAGCAGGCATCTGATGTTCCAGTTGTTGGTACACTATTATTATCACCAATTAGTGAAATGGATAGTAATTCAACACATAATACATTACAAGCTGGTCATCCAGCAACTGCTGCACTAGCACAAGCTGTTCTACCAAAACAATTACAAAATGCTCAATTTGGTACTGTTTCAACTTGTAAGTCCATTTTTGCTATGAAGATGAAAGTTTTTCAAATATTTTTATTTTTAGCTATAGCAAATTCAAATGGTATATCAACTTTATCATTTCCATTTACTGTAACATCAACATCTGATTCAATACCGGGGACATTATCAATTGTACCAATAACATCACCAGCAATTATAACAACATCAACTGATTTAGATTTAAACACAACAAAAAATTCATCTATTGAATATAATAATAAAAATAATACGATACCAATAACAACTATATCATTATCAATACCAAAAGTTGCATCTCAAACATCATTAAAAGATTTATTATCAGATACATCATCAAATGATAATTTCTTAACAGTTGTAAATAATAGTAATAATATAAATAATAAAGATAATAATATTTTATCATTATCAAGAAAATCAAGTAATCAATCAATTAAAGATAGTTATATACTTGAGAAAAAATATTCTGATATTATAATTAATGATAATATTGATAAAATTGATTCATCATTAGTTAATTTAAATAATAACAATAATAATAATAATAGTAATGGTAGTAATAATTCTAATATTATTAATAATGATGATAATAATGATAATAAAGAATTAAATATAAATACAACATCAACAACACCATCAACATTAACTAAACGTAATCCACAACCACAAAAAGGTGAAGTTTATGTATAAAATGTTAAAGTAGTTAAGACACAAACCATATATTAAAATTTTCATAATTTTTCACCACACAAACACAGAATTTTTTTCTACTGTTTTGAAAGTTTAAAATTATTGTGTTGAATATCTATTATTATTTTTGTATGAATTTGTGTGGAAAATTTGAATATTTGAAACAGCAAAAGCTCTGCTTACGAGTATTATTGGATTAATTAGAGTTTTGTTATTCTACTGATTAATTAGTATACAAAAAACATTTAGCAAAAAATATTTGTGTTTGTGATTTATAATAAAATTCTTTTTATATTCCTGATATTAGAGAATATTTTATATTTGCTTTTTCTCCCAATATTCTAATATGTTGTATAATTCAAACCGTTTGTAAATATAAAACCCAATAATTCCATGTAAACCTAAATCATGTAGTAGTTCTAGAACAAAGAGGTTTCCAAAATTCAATTATTTTTAAATCATACAAGTTTATTTTAAAAGTAATTAAAATCTCTTACTTAAATAAAACCTAGCCATGGGTTGGTTACCACCTAAAGTAATTAATAAAAAATGTGAATAAATGAAATTATCGCGTTTATAAGACGTTTCATATCAAAAGCCATTTTCGTATTAGATCTGCATTAAGTATAAACTCCCACAGTAATGACAATAGAAACTTGCATGGTTACGACACTGACGGCTTACGACACAGACAATGAAGAAAATTCTTAAAATTTTGATATTTTAATAAATAAATCAATTTAATTTAATTTCAATTTTTTTTTTTTAAATAATATACGAGGTATTAAATATGTTTTTAATATTATAAATTTTAATAGTAATACTATGTAATTAGAAAATATTTTTTATTTTAATAAATAAAATTAAGTATTTTTAATAAAATAGATTTTTAAATTCAATGTTGCCAGAATTTATAGATATTATTAGAGTTATGAAAATTAAATACATATGTATATATATATGTACAATAATGTTCGAAAAATTAATGTAATTAATTAAATTTGATTTAATAATAATATAATAATTATGTTATTGAAAATATTTTTTTCATAATTATGTGATATTTAAATAAGTAGAAAAAAACGCGAAAGTAATATTTTTTTTTTTTTGTTGTATAAATTTTTGTTTTTCTTTTTCTGTATGGCTACTTTTAAATTTTCTCATATTTTATGTGTTAATTTTGATCTATATTGTAAATTTTATTATGAAAATTTCTAAAAAAAATTTCTAAAAAATTTTAGTAGATTTGGAGGCGATTTTAAAATGTTTACAAAAAGAGTTTTTTGTACAAAAAATTTCTATATACTTATAGCTCGAATAAAATTTTTTATTTAATTTTAGAAAAAGTTTTTAACAAATTATAAATAATTAGAATTTTGAAAAATTTGTTTTGTAAAAATCATTATAGTCATAGATATGAAATTAAATTAAATTTTAAATATGTAGGGGCAATATGCAAAAATAATTTCTTATTTAAATTGTAATTCTGTAAACTTATTCCTAAATTATGATCTATTATAATTTAATTTTTTTCCCCTCTATATATGCTTCTATTTTAATGAAATGCTTTTGTAGTATGTTCAAAATTTAAATTTTATACCTTAATAACTATAACTATATTAAATAGTTAACTATAATAGTTAACTTAATAGTTAACTATAACTATTATAAAAAATTTTTTATTAGTTTGTAATTATTCAGTGAAAACTATTGTACAATAGTTGTAGAAATCTCAATATTTTTGTTATTTAAAATGCTTCTCTATTAGAAAAACACTCTTAAAAGCTTTTAATTTTTTATATTGTAAATGTATAAAACTATTAATTGAAACGCTCAGAAGTCAATCAGTGCAAGTAACTTTAAAAGCTAAAATTAGTTATTTTAAATGGAAATTTTGCTTTCATGTTAAACCCTTTGGTTGACGAAGGCACTAAATGCCATTATTTTTTGTGATTTTTTAATTAATCTCAGAATTAACATTAATTGGCTTACAATGATTGACTTCTGAACCCTGTAGTTATTAATTAGATATGATAGATAATATATACCTATTAGATTATATAATAGATAGAACAGTATAAATTTCATTTTTAATTATTTTTGAAATTCAATTTCAAATACAATAGTAAATAAAAAATGTGGGTTTATAAAAGCTAATTTAAAAAATAAGCCTTTCGAATATTTTTATCATAATTTTATTATTATAAGTACTTAAAATTTGTTTTAAAACTTAAGTAGTTAATTTGATTTTAAAAAAATTTATATAGTTAATTTTAAAAATTTTTTTGAAATTTCGAATCATTCCTGATTTTAATTTTCTAGGTATATTTTTAGGTGTAATAACTTTATGTTGTCGAATTGTTTGTTTAAAAATTAACGAAATATTAAAAGTAATTATTAATAATTTTTTTTATCATAAAATTGTATAAATACTAAATAAATAATTTTAAATATTTTTAGAAAAAAACAGAAAATTTAAATAAAAAAATACAACATTATTTTTTACATGTCAACGCACATATTATTGTACTTATATACATAACAATTGTACTTATATATAAATGGAATATTTATTTTTTAGAATTTTTAATTTAGTATAAATATATATAAATTATATATGTATACATATCATAAATGTATTTTAAAAACAAATCGAGATTGAGTTTTATTAATTTTGAATATTAAAATTAGGATTAATGTCTTTATTTCTACTGTTATAGCAGTACTACTAGGCATTTCTGGAATAATTTAATTTTTGTGAGAGGCTAAGATTCAAAACTCAAAAATAATAGTAATAATTCTGTCAGATGCGAGTGTCTTGTATATTAATATGATCAGTGGTAAATGTAATAACAAGAATTAAACTGAACTATTGATATCTATATGATAGGGCTGCGTCTATTAACAGGAGATTTCACGATTTTGTTTTGCCTAACTTAAGTTGCAATTGTTGGTATAGCTTTTATTCATTTACTAAATTTTAGAACCTCATTCTGAATTTATTGGATTATTCTTTCTGTAGTCTACCTTTTTTTAAGGAAATTTGGAATTCGAGGAATGGATTTAATTATTTTATTATTTTAGTTGATTATTTTAGTTTTGATTCTTTTGTTTCTGACTGTATTAATGATGCTTATAATCCCAGGAGATAATTATAACTTAGTATTTTTGCTAATTTACTCATAAAATTGTACCCTGAATAATTTCTGTCATACTTTACATTTTCTAATTTCTATTAAAAGCTATTCATGCTCCGTTGTTTTTTTCTATTTTAAAAAGTAACGAATTCTCGGCTGTCAATTTGACAGTCGCATTTTGCCTCTAAATTCAAAATAAGTATGTACATAATTCAAAAATTATTTTCGCCAAAACATATGCAATTTTAATAAGTTTTAACAACAGGAATAAAAGTATTTACAAATTCATAATAATTTGAATGGCAATACTAAATTAATAATTGATTCAGATTATATTTATTTGGCAATAAATTAAATAATTTCTAATTTTATATAAATTTCCAGGAGAAAGAATCCGCAGTTTTCTTAAATTAATAAAATTTTACTTGTATGCTTAATATATAAGAAAAAGTTAAATTTGTACATAATCACGTTATAATTTTGTAATCAATTTTGAACAAACATAAGGAAGTTATATAGAGGGAAAAAAACTCAACATAACAATAATCTTCATTTTATACTGACACAATAACAACTCTTAAACTAATAAAACTTAAGTCAATATAACAATAATAAAAATTATAAATGCATGTTTGAGCATTAAAGTAAATAAATAAACAAAATGAGCTTTTATTTTGATAGTAACGTAGAATTCATTAATGTTTGGATTTTTAGTTTATTACCATCTAATTTGCAATATTTATTTTCTAAATAATCATTTAAATTTTTGAAAATTAGTCTTAGTCTGGCACTTAAGAATATTTTATTGAGCTTTATGAATTTATTTTACTGAAAGGATATTGTCGAATATATTTCTCAAAATTACGTGCATACAGTTGATCTTAAAATTATTTGTAATGTCAAGATCTAAGAACCATCAAATGCTAATATCACTGATTTAAGAAATGTTCAAGTGATTTTAAAGTTTATAACACTGGCAGCTATATGGTATTGGTCTAATTAATGACACAAGATTTTAATTCCATTATTGCTCTTAACAAAAAATTAGGTCTTTGTACTACTTACAATAAATTAAAAGTCATTGAATGAGGGAACTATGCATTTCTATTTTTCTTAAGATCCAAAAACTTCTACGTCTGAATAATTACAAAATAATTATGAAATCGAATAAACATACTATATATATATATATATATATTTACTATATATATTTTGGAATATCTATCACATATATATGTATGTATATTGGCTGAGTGAATCTTAGCACCGCACTATAGAAATGAACCGTTTTTATAACAAAATATATGTAAGTAAAAATTTCCTAGAATTATTAACAACAATTGTGCAATCAGTTTACATTCATAACATTAAGTGTTATGACGAGTATAAATGATAGAGTCTATGTTCTGTAAAATTACCTATACGTAAATATTATAAAAGATGCATGGTCATTAATGGGCATTTTTTTATGTAAAATTTACTGTATACCAATTAGAAATTGATAGCACTTCATTTGATGAGCTGGCACTTCAATTTTTACTGTCAATATTATTTTTCTATATTCAGTAAATATATTTTATATAAATTACATATAATTGCATAATTAATAGATGCACAAATATAAAATTTATGATATTCGCATATGATTTTTTTTTTTAAAAGTATTAGAAATTTACATTTTCATTTATAATATTGTAAAATTTATTAATGGAGCGAGAAAGTGTTAAAATTTATGTGCAAAATATGTTCACATAATCCACATTGATAAAGTTTTCTCTTAAGCTGAGCTCCGGAATCAGCCATTCAATTCCTGTAAAATGTTTGTGCTCATACATTAATTTAGATTAGATAAAAATTTATTAACGTTTCCAAAAACTCATTCAACCAACATTTTTCAACTATAGTACACATTAAACCTATAGATATTTTGTACAACGATTGATATAAACTACTAATTTTTATCGTTATTATTTAATTATAATAACTTTTATCATAATGTTAATAAAATTTTTATTTATTTATTCAAAGTTTTAATAATTATAAAGGTATAGTTATGTATTTAACAGCTTTTAAATGCATGTTGCCGTATAGATAAAATTTTCATTATTAATTAAATAAATTTACATATGTACATAAATCTTATCAAATATTTTATTATCATGATAAAATATGCTTATGTAAATACACACTTACAATTCAGTTTGATAATTCAAATAATAATTTCATTATTATCACAATTAAATTAATACGAGTGGACGTAATAACGTAGTACGGTACTCGTATAATGATAAAGGTGGCTATTATCGCAGTCTTGTATTTCAATAAGATATCAATGTCTACATTTCAATTAAAAATACAATATTACTTCGTTTAGCTTTAAAGTATTCGAAAATTTTTATGCAATATGCGGCGACTATTAGATTGTAGCGGGGCCAACAACAGTGCACCGCGACCGCATATAAGGATCTATTGTAGATTTTGGTGTATGCCCTACAAGGGATGCACCAAGTAGCTCCTAGGTGTGTCCCACAGGAGTTCCTTGACCTGCCTCAGTCCCGGAAGACTAGTTCAGCGCTCTGACCGCCCCCTCCCTGATTTTTTCCTTAATTACCGAATTGTATGTGGTCCGATTCCGCAGAAGGGCTCCGGCACAGGAAGAGGCGTGTTTGCCCTCTCCACGCCAGCGCATTATCTGCCTCATTTCCTTCCACATCATTGGTCCGGCACCCAGCAAAAAATGAAACTATTGCGCCTGCCCTTAGTTAATTCATTGAGCCTCTCAAGTCATCAAGACAGCGCCATACTGTCGCGGACGATACGGAAAACGAGTTGAGCGATGGCAGCCCGGCTATCTAACATATTCATTATCATTATCATTATAGGTAATAATAGTTATGCGGTGACTATTTAAATAACAATAATAAAAACTTAATCGAATTGATTACCGTAGGTCTTCATAAATTTTATTATATTTGAAATAAATTAAATTCAAAATTTATATAAATAAACCCTCAATCACACGAGGGCTTGATTATTCAATAAATGCAATAAATTATCAAGTCCTTTTCTGGATACACTATGCAAGACTTATAATATTTTGCAAAATTCAATGTCAAGGTCAAATTAATTGTTTTATATCTCTTTGGCATTCATATTTATTCTAAACAACATTATAATTACATTAAAAAAAACATAATTTTTAAATTTTGCATCACCTCTTTACTATCATGCATATTAAAATTAAATATTATTCTCTAGATAGAGTTGTCGATTTCCTATTACACATATACATATATACTCCTTTACTTTAATATTTTGATGTCATCATTACTTATTATCGTAACACTTTTCTTCTTAGAAATTATTGTAAATCAAAAATATATTATAAGAGCGTGCGCACAATATTATTATTGTACAAGTAACACTCCTATTATGAAGTTTATTCAAATATATGTACATATGTATAACAAATTTTAATTTTATTATTACTATACAATGTACATATAAATGTAAACAATGTTATCATTTATGTAGTTCAAGTTCAAAATAGTTTTAAAGTAAAATTCTCTAAAGGTATCCCATAAATTTTTGCAAAATTATTTTTTATACGTATATGCATACAAAACAAAAAAAATATTGAAAAAAAAAATAAGGAAACAAAAAAATCGCTTTTATGCTACTAGTAAGAAATTTTTTCTATACAAGGAACAAAATAACAGCAAAAAGAGAAAGAGAGAGTGTAACAGAAATATTTCATTCATAAAATTTATTTTTTTGTTATGTTTTCTTTCTCTAGTTCTTCTAAGCGGTAATTAATTGATCGAAATTTTACGAGTATTATTAGAAAAAGCAAAAAAATCATAAAATTTTTTAAATTAGAAAATTTCATATTTTTTTTTTTTTAATAATAAAAATGCTCTTCTCATTAATTTTTAGTTCAGTTCAATTTTGAATCTCAGTGCGTTCACATCGTTTAACAGAAGGAATTGTTTGTGGAATAAAAGAGGAAAAATATAAGAAAATAATAACAAAAAAAAAAAGAGCGGCGTATTGCAAAAAATCAGAGTTATTAACGTTTTGATAAAAATTTTTAAATATCGAGTTATTATTTCCGTGTCTCTTGACGTGTTCAGTTGGGGCACTATATTCTAATTATTATTATTACTGTTGCGGTTATTTATTAAAAATATTGGAATAAGATAACAAAATGTAAATTAAATTTTTTTATTTTTTTAAATTAAAAGTGATTTTTTTTCTATTTTTATTTTTTATTAAATTAATTAAATATTTATTTTTTCTCTTGCAATTAAAAATATAGTTATGTATAGTTTAATTACCCCATATATACTTTTATTAAATATTTAATTAGAATTAAGAAAATATTATTAAAAAATGCAATTATTATACTAGTATTAAGTACTTTATGCACTTAGAATATGTGATAAGACTTTGAAAATGTGAACGTTTTGTGATAAAAATTTTTAAGTGCAATTGTTTTTGGCATTAGATTTTGGATTTGAATTCTTGATCTAGAATATCATAATTTTTTTATTATGTGAATTTATATTTAACATGGATATGAGGAATTTCAAAAAGGACGAAAATATATTTATTTTTATTTATGGAATTTTATTGACTTACATTGTATAATTGCAGTTCCATGTATGATTTTGATTCTATGAATAATTTTAGAAACGAATACTTTGCTTTAATAAGCTGAAGGAAGCTCTAAAATCCGTGTTTTAAACAAAAAATAATTAAAAAACATTTAATTATAAAAATATTTCACTTACAATGTGCAAAAATTAATTGAGTCTCAAGACAAATTCACAAAATTTAAAAATTACTCCACAAGTACGAGCTAAATTGGAGTTTTTTCAACTTGTATAAGAAAGGACTCAAGTGTCGGGAATGAACAAAAATTTGAATCTTATATAGACGATTTAATAGTCAAACAGTCAACAGAATTCAAAGGATCCCGGAAATATTTTACTGATAATAAAAGTTTTCCTCTTTCTCATAGGTTTATTTTAATAATTTTAACGAATTTTGAATTTTTTTTTTTGTAATTTTTGAATGTTTAGGCATTTTGAAACCTTACCGTCTTAATCTCAATATGTTTTTTTTACCGTCAACATGATTTGCGGTGAAAAATATTTGATTTGAGTTGGAAAATGTTTGATTTAAGGTGAAAATGATTAAATTTGTATTGAACAGTATTAAAAATTTTTGATTTAAAAAATAATATTCCTATTTGCTATAGGAATATTCCATTTGTTATAAAAGACTGCAGTTTTTTTTTTTTTGCGAATATAGTTTGCGAATAATTCTGAGTATATTTTCTACGTACATACACACAAGCATAAACACACAGGCATAATACACGTGTTTTATTTGGAAATCAAAATTTTATGGAAATATAATAGAATATTGATTGTACTCGTATCATTATAACAGTTTAAGTACTTATAATAAAAATTGTTCTATTGCAAAAACAAAATTTGATTTTGTGCTATGAAAAGGATCTTTTTAATTAATAAAACATAGGAGTAGAAATTTGTATAAACATGTTATTCAAATATAACAAAATAAAAATAAACTGTTATACTATATGATAATGTTATATTATGAAGAATATATGAAAATTTTAGAATTGCACATTTAAAATATTTTAATTATTTATTTTTTCAAAATTTTTTTAATTAAATTATTCAATTATATTAGTTTATTACTAAACAATTTCTCATTCTTATTGCTGAGAACGTTTTTAAGGAAAAAACAGTGCAGAATAATTTATGGAATTTTTAAATGTAATTAAAGAATTTTGTTTTTACATTTATATATAGAAAATTAAATAATTTTGGCTCTAAAAATCAGAAAATTTTCATCATAAAATGCTTATTCTGCTAATTTTGCAGTTTTTAAAATATATGAACTGTGCTTAATGCAGTAAATTCTTGATCTTTGATTGTGTTTATAACTAATATATTAAATAATTAAATATTATTTAATTATTTAATATACCCAATGCAAATTTACTATATTAAAAGGAATTGTTGATTATAAAGAGCATGTACACATCAGCAATATATATACTTTTAACTTACATTATTTAACAGTTATATAGTTAAAATTTTTCAATATATTACTTAATTAATTGGAGTACACGTTCCACAAAAGTATAAAATATTGTAATAAATATTAATTACTTATTGTAATTTTTTTTGTAATATAATTTGATTCTGGGTATTTTGATTATTCTTATTTAAATACTCGATACATTTGTATATTACAGTAAATTACTAATATAAACGAGAAAAAAAGTAGAGTTGACTTTGTCAACTCTGTGATACCCGTACGAATTTGTTGTCCTATGTGCGAATAACTAATGTGCCATAACTAACTATGGGGCAGACTATGACTTTAAGTTGCCGTATTACCATATTAATTTATGCAAAATTTCAGTACTATGTGTTTTTCAAAATACTGGTTGTGCCAAACTACTATTGAAGTTGTATGGCAGCTACCAGAAAGAGCCAAGAAATTTCAGCGAATTTTATCAAGCACATCGGCCCTACTAATATATTCACTTGTGTGAAATCTCAATATCACAGCTTTTATAGTTTCTGAGATATAGCCAAATAACTTTTGAAGTTGTATGGCAGGTACAAGAAGGAGCCAAGTAATTTCAACGACTTTTATGAGACACATTGGCCCTACTAATATATTCGTTCGTGTGAAATGTCAATACCATAGCTTTAATACTTTCTGAAATATAGTTAAATAACTTTTGAAGTTGTTTGGCAGGTAGCAGAAGGAGCCAAGTAATTTCAACGACTTTTATGAGACCCATTGGCCCTATTAATATATTCGTTTGTGTGAAATTTCAATACCATAGCTTTAATAGTTTCTGAAATATAGTCAAATAACTTTTGAAGTTGTATGGCAGGTACCAGAAGGAGCCAAGTAATTTCAACGACTTTTATGAGACACGTTGGCCCTATTAATATATTCGTTTGTGTGAAATTTCAATACCACAACTTTTATAGTTTCTGAGATATAGCCAAATAAATTTTGAAGTTGTATGGCAGTTACCCGAACCGGTACCCCAATCACGTCCAATTTGAATAGGATTCTGGCACTTACTACAATAAATCATTTGTGAAAATTTGGTGAACTTAGCTCAATTAGTTTTTGAGTTATCGTTCGGACGGACGGACGGACGGACGGACAGACAAAGCTAAATCAACTCAGAATTTGACGCTGATCAAAAACATACACTTGAGTCTATATCTAACACCGTTATTTCTTAGCGTTACAAACGGTAAGGCAAATTTAGTATACCCTTCGAACATACGTTCGTACGGGTATAAATATATATGAATAGGGTTTTACAAAATGAAAGTGCGTTAACTCAAAATATTTTTACAAACTATGATTTAAAAAAAAAAATTCCCTTCTAATTATATTTTAACATTTATATTTAATAAAAAATTGTTATAATGGAATATAAAAAGAAATTAGCATATTTTATAACCTTGATAAATTTTCCATGTACATGAAATATACATATAATGTCCCCTATAATTATGCAATTTTTCCCAATAGTATATAATATGTACGTTTCTCACTCTTACACCTTTTATTCAATTCCTTTAACGTATTAAAAATTTATGTATACTTAAATTTAATTTACTAACTATAATATATAATTTTTATCATTGTTGCCATATACACATAGACAGAGTGAGAATAAAACGACAATAATTTTAAATTATATTTTAAGGTCAAGGTGTGCCTTTATTTCTGTGAAATTCTTGTGAAGCAACACATGCAATTAAATATTAGAAAATTCATTTTATTATTTTTTATTATTTTTTAATTAAATTCCTTTATAATATTGGTTATTCGGCCATTTAATAAATATAATATATACAAAGTTGCAAAATTGTGAAAATTCACTTCTAAATTTACTTATGCTGTGTACTAAAATTATATCACTTTAAAAAATTCTTTATTAAATACTACAAGTATTTGAAAAGAGTTAAAAGAACAATTTTTTTTTCTGTTTTAATTTAACGGTGTATCAATTAAATTGCAAAAAAATTCATGAAGATACAAGGAAAATATTATTATTTAAATCTGAAGGTCTTTTCTATATACTTAATATAATAAAAATTTAACTATATTATACTTGGAGAAAGAAGAACAAAAAAAAAATTATATTAGACTTTCTAAGTTCATAATCGGTCAATTGATGATCGGTCATTTTGTTATACGAGCTGTATATCAGATATACATGTATGTATATTGTATGTTATTAGAATATTAGATGAGAAGAATTAATTGAGAAAACATTTTATATGGTCACGTTTTTATTGTATATTATTTTAATAATAAAAAAATTTACATAAAATCTAATTAAAATGGCGATTTTTTTAAGTTGCCTTGGAAATTATTTAAAATATTTACAAAAATATAAAGTATTCAGGATATATGAGAAATGTAGGGAAAGAATTTGGAGTAAAGTGTAAAAAATACTGTTTATAATAATAGGAAATTTTCATATTTGTAACAACAATAATTTGAGGCATAAATCCTAGTACGTTCGCCATTAATATTTATTTAAAATTTTACGAAATGGCTTTAATCAACTTTGACAAAATGAATTAGAAATACTGTATGTATTTTAGATTAGTCAGAAAATGTATATATATAAATATTTCCTAAATCTTTAGTATGATGCAGTGAATTTTTCTGTTAAAAATACCAAAGCTACTGAATATTTCAGAATTCATGATTTGATTAAAGATTTTAGAAATTTGAATCAGAAGATTATATAACAAACTTGGTTATAACTCCTCCAAATCAGTGGAAAAACGCATTGAATATTGAGAATTCCGCAGAGTAGAAAATTGGTAAATGGTTGGAATAGAATAGCCTTATTCCCCTAAACAAGTTCGACTAACGCCTGTAGACACTCTCACACCGAATTCGAATTGATTTAGTAGAAGTAGTAGCAGTAGTAGTTTTCTAATAATGTGGAATATTACTTATATAATATTAAAACTGATAATGTGGAATATTACCTTAGTTTTTTTAAAATGTTGTATATTATGCACTTATACTACTATGTTTTAATACACTCTTACATTCTGTACACATACGATATGTTATTGTACATATAATAACAAAAACATGGAATAAAAATCTTGGCAACGTACATACTATGTTTTTATTTTGTTACTATGTTTTCTTTGAAAAAAACAGGAGATGACCTTTAGTAATAATATTTCAGAGCCTTATAAAAGTGCGTATAAATTATGTTTACTGGAACAAAAATCAATAATATTTAAATAGCAATAAAATATAAAATTTAATTGACAAATTAAACCACTGATTTACTTGTGTACTCCGATAAATCTATAGTTGAAAATTACTTAGAATATGTGGTACAAAAATGAAATTTTTCTCAATTATATTTAAAAATAAATTTTAAAAAAAATTTTATAAATTAATTTATTTTTTTAAAAAATTTTTTTCATTTTCTAATTTTAGGACAGCATACGATGTATCAAATAAAGATGAACAAAAATCAAAATCAATCAGTTACTTTAGTTTATTTCGTTTTGCAACATCAACAGAAATTTTCTTATTATTTTTAGCATTTTTTGTAACAATTATAAAAGCATTAACATTACCAATTATGATTATTGTTTATAGTGAATTTACATCAATGTTAGTTGATCGAACATATGGTAGTGGTACATCATCAAAAACATATTTATTACCATTATTAGGAGGTGGACAAATTTTGTAAGTGAAAAATTGAAAATTTAATATGGGATTTCTGTTTAGATATCCTTAATTAATAGATTATTAAAGAAATATGATTTAGGACGCAATATGTATGGAATTTTAATCATATATGTGACTCATTATGTGCAGAAATGCGCTCTTGAATTCGTAAATTTTCTTGATCATTTGAATTTAATCCAAGTCAATGTTGTTACTGAGGGTATAGATTGCTTGGAGTATATAGAATTTCTATTCATATTTATATTATGGAAACGATTCTTTCGGTATTATTGAAATTATTTCTTATATAGGTTCCAATATAATAAATTTTAATTTAATCTTAGCTTTTAAATTAATTTTTCAATTATAACAATATTATGGTTATTTTATTTTTAAATAATTCTCATTTCATAAATTCCTATTAAAATTGAATGATAAAATAGAAATTCTATATTCCAAATACATGTAAAATGAAAAATCGATTACAGTGGCGCCTTGCATCTTAAGGTGTACATTTATATAAAGTTCAAGTTTATTTTGTAAAGAGTCTTGTCTCCTTATTCTTCGATTATTTCTTAATTTAATTCTTAATCGATTTTAAAATTTAAAATAATAGAGAAAAATTTTATTTCTGTGTAGTTGAAATTTACTTTCCAAAATCTTTTAATATTAAATTTTAATATTCAAATTCTTATACAATATTATTTTTTGTTTTTGTAGAACAAATGCAACAGCTGAAGAAAATGACGATGCATTATATTATGATTCAATGGCATATGGTGGTCTTTTTTTTATATTTTCAACAATAATGTTTTTAACTGGTATTGCTGGTGTTGATTTATTTAATTATGTTGCATTAAAACAAGTTGTACGTATACGTATAAAATTATTTCAATCAGCTATAAGACAAGATATTGGATGGCATGATATGACAAAAGATCAAAATTTTGCACAAAAAATTACAGAGTAAGTACAGAACAATTAATAGTTTTACAAAATATTTATACTAAATTAATTTTAATTATTTTTCATATTTGTTTTAGTGATATTGAAAAAATAAGAGAAGGTATTGCTGAAAAATTATCACATTTTATAAATTTAATTGGTGGTACATTAATAACAATGATTATATCATATATTTATGGTTGGAAATTGGCATTATCATTAAGTATTTATATTCCAATAGTTATTTTAACACATTATTATGTATTAAAGGTAATTAATAGATTAGTTTTGAGATCATTGAGTATGCAATTAAAAATTTTATTCTTATTATATTTTTTGTAGTATCAAAGTATTTTAACATCACGTGAATTAAATTCATTTGCAAAAGCTGGAAATTTATTAGAAGAAATTTTGAGTTCAGTACGTACAGTTGTTGCATTTGGTGGTGAAAAAAAAGAGGTTGAACATTATGGTACACTATTGGTATCGGCAAGAAAAGCTAGTGAAAGAAAAGGAGCATTTAGTGGATTTGGTGAAGGTGTATCACGTTTATTAATGTTTATATGTTGTTCTGGTGCAATATGGTATGGAATACATTTAATAATTGATGATCGTGATAAAACAGTAAAAGAATATACACCAGCTACAATGCTTATTGTAAGAACTTTAAGAATATCTTTTGTTTTATATTAATATAATATTTTTTTAAGGCATTCTTTGGTATTGTTGTTGGTGCTGATAATATTGCAAAAAGTTCACCATTTTTAGAAGCATTTGGTACAGCAAGAGGTGCTGCAATTGAAGTATTTAAAATGATTGATTTAAAATCAAAAATTGATCCGTTATCAACTACCGGAAAAATTTCTAATATTGAATCAAAAGGTATTATTGAATTTGAAGATGTATTCTTTCGTTATCCATCCAGGCAAGATATTATAATATTAAGAGGAATATCAATAAATATTGAAAGTGGTCAAACTGTTGCATTAGTTGGTTCATCTGGTTGTGGAAAATCAACATGTATACAATTAATTCAAAGATTTTATGATCCAGATTTTGGACAAATAAAATTAGATGGTTTAGATATTAGAAAATATAATTTAAATTGGTTACGTTCAAATATTGCTATTGTTGGACAAGAACCTGTATTATTTTTTGGAACAATAGGTGGCACAATTAACAATTTATTATGTTCCAGAATTTAATTAAAATTAGAAATTTTATTATTTTTTAGTTGACAATATTAGAAGTGGTAAAACATCTGCAACTGATAAAGAAGTTGAAGAGGCTGCAAAATCTGCTGGTGCTCATAATTTTATAATTAATTTACCACATGTAATTTTTATTTCACATATATAACTTTATAAAAATTTAAAAAAAATATTACTGAATTTAAATTATGATGCTTTCCTTTTTTAGGGTTATCAAACGAAAATTGGTGAAAAAGGTACACAATTATCTGGTGGACAAAAACAAAGAATTGCAATTGCACGCGCTCTTATACAAAATCCAAAAATATTATTATTAGATGAAGCAACATCAGCACTTGATTATGAATCTGAAAAATTAGTACAACAAGCATTAGATTTGGCAAGTAAAGGACGTACAACAATTGTTGTATCACATAGATTATCAGCAATTAAAGGTGCCGATAAAATCGTATATATTGATCATGGCAAAGTTTTAGAAGAAGGAACCCATGATGAATTAATGCAATTAAATGGTCATTATAATAAAATGGTTTCATCAATTGATTTGGATATAAAAAATAATGAAAATGTTGATAATATTGAAGATGATTTAGATTTATATAAAAAAACATTTGATTTAGATACAAAAAATTTAAATTATAATATTATGAATAAAAAGAAAAGTATAATATCAAATTCATCTAGCTTAAAAAATTTCGAAGCAATACAAAATTATCAATCTACTGATGATCTTGAAAATATAAAACGTGCAAATGTATCAAAAGTTTTTCAAAGAATATTAAGTATATCAAAACCAGAATGGGGTTATTTATTTTTAGGAATAATTGGAGCTGCTGGTGTCGGTTCCTCATATCCATGTATGACACTATTAATGGCTGAATTTTATAAAACATTAGCAAATCCAGATCCAGATGATGCTATCAATCATATTAGAATATTATCAATATTATTTTTAGTATTAGGTTTTGTATTCGGTTTAACATGTTTTATGCAAACTTATTTATTTAATTTATCTGGTTGTAGATTATCATCAAGATTAAGGTATATATGAAAACTATAAATAATTTATTTTATAAAATTAATAATTTCTTTCTTTAATTTTAGATTAGAGACTTTTAAATCAATTATAAAACAAGAAATGAGTTGGTTTGATAAAGATGAAAATAGTGCTGCATCATTATCGGCACGTTTATCTGGTGATGCATCAAGTGTACAAGGTGCATTAGGTTTTCCATTAAGTGGTATTATACAAGCAGTAACAACATTTACAATAAGTGTTACAATTGCATTTTATTTCTCATGGAATTTAACATTATTATGTTTAGTTTGTACACCATTTATTGTTGGATCTGTTATTGTTGAATATCGGATTAATGAGAAAACAGCAATTAAATCAAAAAAAATTTTAGAAGATGCAAGTCGTGTTGCAACTGAAGCAATTATTAATATTAGAACAGTTGCTGGTTTAAGACGTGAAAAATATGTTATTGAAAAATTTGAAAATGAAATGTATAATGTACAAAATATTTTAAGAAAAAAATTACGTTTTCGCGGTCTTATCAATTCATTTGGTCAAACAATAATGTTTTTTGGTTATACATTTGCTTTAGCATATGGTGGAATATTAGTATCAAAAAGAGAAATTGATTTTCAAAATATTTTAAAGTAATTATTAAACTATAAAAAATAATTGAACAATTTGTTTTGAAGGTGGTGTAAATCCAATTCCAAAATTTTATTATAAATTTTAATATATATTAATTATATAAATTTTAATGTGTAAAAAATTGGGCTTGCACCATTTTTAAAGAAAATGGTTAACTACTTGCATTTACATAAAAAATATGTCAAAAAAAATTTGCTAATTTTAATAATTTTTCAAAAAGAGTTTCAGAAACCCTACTGTATGGTTCAATGATGTTAGCACAATCATTAGCATTTTCACCAGCATTTGGTGCAGCATTATTTGCTGGTAATCGTCTATTTAAATTAATTGATAGAACACCAAAAATAAGATCACCGATACCAATTGATAAAAATCGTGCAATATCAAATAGTTTTCAAGGTGTTGAATATAAAAATATCAATTTTCGTTATCCAACCAGACCGGAAGCACAAATTTTAAAAAATCTTAATTTACAAATATTTAAAGGTAGAACAGTAGCATTTGTTGGTCATTCTGGTTGTGGTAAATCAACATGTATACAATTATTACAAAGATTTTATGAACCAGAAACTGGTAAAATTGTAAGTTTTAAAAAGAAAATTTTAAATTAAAAAAAAAATTTAATTATAAAAATTTTTTTTTTTTCTTTGTAATAGAATATCGAACATGGTAATATATCAACTGATATGACATTAGAAAAATTACGTTCAAATCTTGGTATTGTATCACAAGAACCAATATTATTTGAAAGATCAATTGCTCAAAATATTGCATATGGTGATAATTCACGTATTGTAACAATGGATGAAATTATTGATGCTGCAAAACAAGCAAATGCACATAATTTTATAACATCATTACCAAATGGTTATGAAACAAATTTAGGATCACGTGGTACACAATTATCTGGTGGTCAAAAACAAAGAATTGCTATTGCTAGAGCATTAGTTAGAAATCCAAATATATTATTGTTAGATGAAGCAACATCAGCTTTAGATTTACAAAGTGAAAAGGTTTTTACATATTTAGGATTTATTCAAAATTCAAATATTTTAAATTAATTTTTTTAATTATTTTAGATTGTTCAATCAGCTCTAGACTCAGCATGTAGTGGTAGAACATGTATTATTATTGCTCATCGTTTATCAACTGTACAAAATGCTGATTTAATATGTGTTTTCGAAAATGGTAAAATTGCTGAATTGGGCAATCATCAACAATTGTTGGCAGAAAATGGTTTATATTATAAGTTATATACAACGCAGCCAAATTTATCATAAAAATAAGAGAAAAAATATGTATATATATGATAAATATATATAAGAGTGTGTGATACACGTGTATTGTATATGCTTGTATGTATATTTTAAAAAGAAAGTATTATTATTATAGAATTTCAATTTTGAACAAATATTTTTTAAGTTTATTTTTTTTTTGCTGTTATACATAAAAAATGAAGGCGAAAGATCAATTTGATTACAAAATTAAAATTAAACAATTGAAGGATTTTTAATTTTTAGTTTTCCGAATTTTAATGGTACTTATTTCGAATTTTAGAACTGTTCTCCTAATTCCAATGATTCTCATTTCAAATTCTAAAGCTGTTCACCGGATTCTAATGGTACTTATTCCGAATTTTAAAGGATGTTCTCCAAATTGTAATGGTGATTAGATTTTCCAAAAGAAAAATTAAGTTTTCATTAATTCGGAATCTAGAATTCGAAATCAAATTAATCCCAGAAAATTTGTGTTTCAGTTAGAATATAAATGTTTATATCGGTTTCTAATTTTATCAGTGCAATTTGCTAGTCAATTAGCAGCTAATTATGTAACAACTACTCAATAATTTGCATACATTCAATTTTTGGTTTTATTTTCTTATAAATTTTTAATTATGTTTCAAGCAGATTTCAAAAATTTTGAGTAAAATGTAATTCGTAGTCTTATTATTCGCTTACACAAAAATTTGCAATTCTCATAAAGTTTATGAAAAAATCTTCTACTATTAATATAAGATTTCTAACTTATTTCCCTGCTTTTAACAAGTTCTCAGTTAATGGTCAATTTCAATACCATTAACCTTGAACACCTGTTAATTTCAGACACAAATTAAGTTAAAAATGTACTTACTATTATACGTCGTCCAATTAATTATTTTTCAATTTCTCCTGGAAGTATGCAATAATATTTTATTAAATAGGACTCCTGTTTAAACTTTAATTTTTTACAATTATTTATTTTGTTGAATTGTACAGAGCTGAATCTAGGAACGAAATTTTGTTATTATTTATATAATTTTAAGTTTTTTTAAATAACCCGGTTTTATTTTCAGTAAGTAACACTTATATTAATGCTTAACAAACAAAATTAACTTTAATCACATTCACTAGAACTAAAAAACTTCCTTCAATCGCTACAAAAGCCAAAGGCTTTTCTAATTCTGATTCGATGATATATTATTAGCTATTAAATACGGCTAATTTTATTAGGCTAAACAAATATTCTATAAATAACAATATGTGCACACATTTTTTACCTAAATTTCAGAGTGTGTTTAACCAAAATGGAAACTAGATAAAATTAGCACATGTGTTAATCCTTTTTTATTTGATTTTACGAAAAATCGTAATAAACAATATAGGCGTGTATATTTTATGAATCAGAAATAAATTTTTTAATATTTATAAATGTTTGAAACAATTTAGAATGTGACTGTCTCATATTTAATTGTATATACTTACATATGTATACAAGGTCATGTACGCACATATGCTAATATTGAGATTTTAAGAAAATTTAAATTCATATTTTGCTTATCTTATCTTCTTTTAGATCTTAACAATAGTGTTGTGTTTATTTCGTTGATCTTTAAGTTAATAATTATCTATAGGTCACTTATTTTAAAATTTTAGCTATTGCTCATAATTCATTATTCTCACGGGAACTGATTAACAAATTTCTCATAGTGGAATTCCGATCAGATTAGAATTCTTTGTGTATTATCTTTGTACATTAAAAGTATTCATAATCTGCTTATAATATACAGAAACCAGAATTATACAGCAACATAGAATTTCATATTGCAAAAATTATTGCCTCTTTTTCTTTTAAGAATTAAATGAATTGCGTGAAAATATATATATTGTATTTGCTGCATGGTATTCTTATCACAAGCCAATATAATCAATTACAGCAAATATCAGTAACGGTTTACCATATTACCATACGTGTACTCAAATTTCCAACTCAAAATACATTTAATTGAGAAATCGTAAATCGTTATGGCAATAAAATTTTAAATTGAGAAAAAATCTCTTAAAAATCAAAAAAAAAAATTATCTCACCATAATAATAGGAATGGGATGGTAATAATAAAATATTTTGAGTAATTAAATTATACTCAAAAAAGAAAAATGAATACTATATAAGGAGAAGATCACTAAAAGAAAATTCTTAGTCTGGCTTCAGTTTCAAAACGGTTCGGATAAAAAATTGAAATAAAAAATTAAAAGTGAAATTTTTGGTGTTTCTTTTTTCTCGTTTTTGTTTTGTTTAATTACATTTGTACAATTAAATTTTCATTGTTTTATTATTTGATTTTCATCAATTAATAGAAAATTTTATTGACTCTGTTAACATTTACTGTCATAATAGTAAATTTTTTTTGTACATAGGTATATATGTACGCAAAGTGTGAATTTAAATAAATTAAAATTAATTTATAAATTTTTATTTAATTAATGATTTTTTGTTTTTTATTTTATTTTTAATTAGATAAGAATTAAAATTAAATATTATCGTAAATTGTTTATATTTGTTTTAGAAGGGAATTATAAGAAAAAGAGAAAAAAAATTTTTAATTTCTATTTTATCACAGTAATTGTCATAATAATTTTAATGTAAATGAAAAAATACTTAAGTCATGGTTATATAAAAATTAAAAACTGCAGTAAAGTAAATAAAATAATTAAAGGATTAAAATAATTTTTAAATTTAAATTAAAATAATTTGAAAATGTAAGTAATATAAGTAATGTAAATAATTAATAAATGTAAGTATAATAATATAATATAATTAACTGTTATATTATAAAAATTAATATAAAAAATAACAGCGAATATTTAATTAATTTTAATTTATTTATTTTTTTTGTTTTTAAATATTATTTAATTGTTCAAAACATATTTCGAATAACTATTGTACTGATGTGATTTTTTTTAATAAGAATTATAACCCTTTAGGTTACTTAAGGCTAAATCAATTCTTATATTATGATTGTGATCATGATTTTATTTTATTGATTTCTTTTTTTTTTTTTTTGATGAAATTAGCATAAAATATTTTTATGCTATGTCATTCTAATGTATTTTATTAATATACAGTGGACTGCTCTTATTTTGCATTGTAATATAAATTTGTGAGTTCGAGATCAGTGAAGATGTCAATAATGATGTATAACAAGGATAAGATTGCTCAAAAATGTTTTCTAAATTGTGTCTAAGTTCATATTGCTTTCTTACATGTTTGATGTGATATTTAAGGAACTAAAAGTGATAAATTCAAATATATTAGCTAAATGTTCAGGCAAGCCTGGTTTTGAACGCTATGCTTTTCGTCTAATGTAATTATTTGTTGAAATGCTTTGGAGGTAATGCTTTTGTTAGTTAATATGGTTTTCGAAATTAAGTTTTAAAAATTTAAAACTTTTAAAACTTAATATTATCAAAAATTTGGACTTCACGAAACGGCCCCGGCAGATACTTTTCACCATACAATATTAAAAAGTGTAAACACAATATCACAATTTAGCATTCTTTTTCTATATGGTACAGCAATAAGTACTGTGCATCTTCTAAACTGCATAGTGGCTAGGCCAATCCTGCATACAGCAAAAATGCAAAAATTAATATAATAGCAAAATACTAATATAATATTTAGTTTACGTTATAACTGTTGTATTAATATGTCAAAGAATATTTACCGTTATACCGCTATTATAAATAAATATTTAACATAAACATATACATACATATTATGTGTGCCTTAATATATAGAAAATCAATATGTATGGCCTGTACTGTGAAATTCAATCATTTTCAATTGATCTTTTTGAACTTTCTCGTTTAGACACCAGATAAATATATTCCGCGAATATCATATATGTACATATACGAGTATATTGTTCTACTTTTTTTTTTCATTTACAATATAAGAAAATATTGTTAGAATAAATTAAAAAGAAATGAAAATTAGATAATCGATTTGATTTTTCGTTTAGAAATATTAAAAGTTATTTTAACAATATTGTGCAATATTATTATTACAGTAGGGAAAACGTAAGGGAACTGTAAGTAATAAGCACTTAAATAGTATAATTTTTTAAAAGTATTTAGATAATTCAATAAATTTATAAGAAATAATTCGAATTTTTGAATATTTTTTATAAATTTATTGAATAGAACTCTGTGTTTTAAGTTAGATCTGCTCCGTACGTGAAATTATTATACAAGCGGCCTTTAATATAACAGTTTGCTTTTAAGCTAATATAATATATTTTGCGTTCCTAGCTCTTAGTTGAAAACGGTAAACATTTATGCAATTTGTAGAATGAAGAAAGTATCTTAGAGTTTAATAAAACAACTCTTTAATTTGGTATACCTATTGTTATATTGTATGATATACTTATAATAAAGCGCCTTTGAAAATATATAGAAAATTTGATTTATGGTTAATAATAAATGACGCGATAATCAATTTTCATTGAGTAAAAGAAAAAAAAATAAGAAGAAAAATCTTGTAAATTAATTAAAATAAGAATTTTCTTTTTTACACACTAACCTTATATATTGCATAGTTTTACTTTTAATATTTATGCAAAAATTATTAGTTTTTCACAAATGAATTCATTTCGTATACAACAATAATATTTAGTATTTAAACGCAAGTATCTCATGTACGAATAAATTATATTTGTATTGATATTAAATTGTAATATAAGTTTGTAATATAGAAATTTTTATCACGAGAATAATATTAAAAATTTTATGACATTCCTCTTGCGTGTTATTATTAACCCGCATATAGTTATGTAAGGTTAATTAATAGTATGTGAGACATGTGAGAATTAAAAATGATAACTATATATGTATGTATGTATGTACAAATAACTTTATTATTTGATCATAAAAATCAATTGTTTTCAATGTGTATTTGCTCCATTATTTCAAAATTATTTAACTGAATAAAATATTTACATTTTAATTAAATTAGTCTTTAATATTTAGAATTTTAAACTTACGAATTGTTAAATAATGCCACGAATTCTGTAAAAACTACAGTAACGGAAAATTGGAATTACAAAAAACCAAATTCGATACTCGAATTGAATTGAATCAAGAGCTTCTGTACGTTATAAATGAGGCAATAATAAAAACATTAATGGTTAAAAACATAAAATTAAGCTATGTGAATAATCTCGAAAGATCTCACAAATTGCTACTTCTTCGCCTGGAGTAGACATTTTTAACTAAGATATAGAATAAAATTATGCACAAATTCTCATATTTAACTAGAAAATGACAGTTTATGAATTGTTGTAGCGTTGTGACAATGACAAGTTTCTCTTTTATTCTCTCATTCGATTCTCAGTTATTATAAATAATACTTATATGCGATAAATTGTAATTATCGTTAAATATTTAAAAAAAATATTCTATATTTTTAGGGCAACTCAAATTGATGAAATGGATGACAATGCCGTTAAAGAAAAAAGAGCACCAGAAATTGAACCAGTAAAATTTTTTCAATTATTTCGTTTTATAACACCATGGGAAATTTTTTTACTTTTTATTGGTTTAATATTGGCCGTAATAAAAGCATTTGCTATGCCGGCTGTTGTTATTATATACAGTGAATTTACTGCAATGTTAGTTGATCGAACATACGGTATTGGAACAAGTTCAAAAACATATCTTTTACCTTTATTTAATGGCGGCAGACAATTGTAAGTAGTAGTTATTTTATAAAATTTTCAAATTATAAAAAGTTTATTTTTTAGAACTAATGCAACACGTGAAGAAAATTATGAAGAATTATATTATGATTCAATGTCTTATGGAGCTTTATTAACAATTGCATCTGTAATATTATTTATATGTGGAATTTTCACAGTAGATTTATTCAATTTGGTTGCTTTAAAACAAGTGACAAGAATGAGAATTGAATTTTTTAAAGCAACAATTCGTCAGGACATTGGATGGCATGATGTTACAAATGATCAAAATTTTGGACTTAGAATTACAGAGTACCTACTTACTTAAATTTTAAAATATCAATCATATTAGTAATCATTAATAAATATTTTAAAATATATTTTCTCTGTTTTTTTGTTTTAGTGAAATTGAAAAAATACGTGATGGAATAGCTGAGAAAGTTTCACATTTTATTAATTTAATTGCCGGATTTGTAATAACAGTAATAATATCATTTATTTATGGTTGGAAATTAACTTTAGCTGTTAGTGTTTATATACCAATTGTAATGGTTACCAATTATTATGTTGGAATGGTAAAGTAGATAACAAGTTTTAAAAATATAAATTAATTTTGATTTAATTTTTAGATTCAAAGTAAATTAACAACAAGAGAATTAGAATCTTATGCTAGCGCTGGGAGTTTAGTTGAAGAAGTACTTGCAGCAATAAGAACTATTGCTGCATTTGGTGGTGAAAAAACTGAAGCAGAACGTTATGATAAATTTTTAGTTCCGGCAAGAAAAGCTGCTGTTCGAAAAGGTGCTTTCACTGGTTTCAGTGATGGTGTATTAAAAAGTTTATTATTTATATCATGTTCCGGTGCATTTTGGTATGGAGTGAATTTAATTTTAGCTGATCGTGATAAAGAAGAAAAAGAATATACACCGGCAATATTAATGATTGTAAGTCGATTTTAATTTGACATTAATTTGAAAGATGAATCGAAGTTTTAATTTTTCATGTGAATAGGCATTTTTTGGAATTGTTGTTGGCGCTGATAATGTTGCAAGATGTGCACCATTTTTAGAAGCATTTGCAATTGCAAGAGGTGCAGCATCAACAATTTTCAAAACAATTAATAGTACAACAAAAATAGATCCGTTATCAAAAGATGGTCATATTTTAAAGGATGGATTAAAAGGAAATGTAGAATTTCAAGATGTTTTCTTTACATATCCGTCCAGGCAAGATGTAACAATATTAAGAGGTTTAAATATTAAAATAGAAAGCGGAAAAACTGTTGCTTTAGTTGGCCATTCTGGTTGTGGAAAATCAACTTGTATACAATTGTTACAAAGATTTTATGATCCAATTTTCGGACAGATTCTACTAGACGATTTTGATATTCGAAAATACAATATTAAATGGTTAAGAACAAATATCGCTATTGTAGGGCAAGAGCCAGTTCTATTTCAGGGGACTATTGGTAGATTTTATTTATTTTTGTTTTAAGAAGTTTTTTTTACCTTCTTGATTTCTGCTTCCCTGCAGGTGAGAATATTAGATTTGGAAAACCAGAAGCAACACAAAAAGAAATTGAGGAAGCTTCAAAAGCAGCTGGATCTCATGATTTTATTACAGAATTTCCTGATGTAAATTTGGAATCAGTTACATTTTTATACATTGTACTACTGTGTATATTTTCTTTCAGTGTTATAATACTTTTATTGGAGAAAAAGGCGCTCAATTATCTGGTGGCCAAAAACAAAGAATTGCTATTGCAAGAGCTTTAGTACAAAATCCAAAAATTTTGTTATTAGATGAAGCTACCTCAGCTTTAGATTATCAGTCTGAAAAATTAGTTCAAGAAGCATTGGATAGAGCGTCAAAAGGTCGAACTACAATTGTTGTTTCGCATAGGTTATCAGCAATTAAAAGTGCCGATAAAATCATTTATATTGATCATGGAAAAGTTTTAGAAGAAGGAACACATGAAGAATTAATGAAATTAAATGGCCGATATTATCAAATGGTTACAGCATCTGAATTAAAATCTGATGAAGATATTGAAGTAGTTACAAGAAGTACACATACATACGTTATTATATTTGTTAATAAATATTAAAGAAGAAAATTATATTTCTAATTTTAGAAAAAAGTTTGGCAATGTATGAGAAATCATTTGAGCTTGATGTTCATAATTTGAAATCAGAATTAGGAGAAAAAAATGCAACAACTTCTCGTTTGAACAGCATTACTTCTGAAACACTAAAAATGGCTAATACAAATGCGACTAAAGATAAAACATTACTTGAGAATAGCGATCAACAAATTAAATATTGGCAATCTTTTGTACGAATTCTTAAAATGAGTAAACCAGAATGGGATACCTTAATTTGTGGAGTTTTTTTCTCTTCAATATTTGGTTTAACTTATCCTGCTTTTGCAGTTGTTTTTGGAGAATTCTATGCAGCATTAGCCGAATCTGAAGAAAATAATGTTTTAGAGCGAACACGTATTTTATCATTGGTTTGTCTAGGTATTGGAGCAGCCACTGGTTTAATTTGTTTCTTTCAAATGTATATTTTTAATAGCTCTGGTGCATGGTTAACAACTAGAATTAGATCTATAACATTTCGTTCAATTTTAAAACAAGAAATCAGTTGGTTCGATGAAGAACAAAACAGTGTTGGTGCATTATCGGCTAGATTAGCTGGTGATGCTGCCAATATACAAGGAGCTGTTGGTTATCCATTGAGTGGCATAATACAATCATTGTCAAATTTTATTTTCAGTACTTCAGTTGGTTTTTACTATTCGTGGAAGTTGGCATTATTATGTCTCTCAATGGTACCTTTCATTGTTGGTTCAGTTGTACTAGAAGCCAAGTAAAATTTTTTCTATATAAGGGTGCGCTCATATTGTTGATTTGAATAATTTTTTGATTTTTTTTTAGGTTTATTGCAAAAACAATGATGGAAGAAAAAGAAATTTTAGAAGATGCTAGTCGTATTGCAACAGAAGCAATTACATACATTCGAACTGTAGCTGGACTACGACGAGAACAAGCCATTATTGATCAGTATACTGTCAGTGTATTAAAAGTTGAAGCTTTATTACAGAAAAAATTAAGATATAGGGGTCTAGTAAATTCTTGTGGCCAGTCATTGATGTTCTTTGGTTATGCCATTGCATTATGTTACGGAGGTGTTCTGGTTTCATGGGGATTAGTTCCGTTTCAGGATATAATTAAGTAAACCATTTCCTTTTTAAAACCTACATATATCTTATTATTGAATGAAATCATTTCTTTTTTTATTTACAGAGTTTCTGAAACCTTACTTTATGGTGCTATGATGTTGGCACAATCATTAGCTTTTACACCAGCTTTTTCAGCTGCTCTATTAGCTGGTCATCGTTTGTTCCAAATAATTGATAGAGAACCTCGCATTAAATCTCCACCACCAGCCGATAAAAATAAAACAGTTATGAATCAATTCATGGGAGTTAAATATCAAGATATTGAATTTAGATATCCAACCAGACCAAATATACCAGTATTACAGGGATTAGATTTAGATATATTACATGGTAAAACAGTTGCTTTGGTAGGACATTCGGGTTGTGGAAAATCTACATGTATTCAGTTACTTCAAAGATTTTATGATCCAGATAAAGGAAGAATAGTAATTAAACTTTCCAAAAATGCAATTTTTTATATTATAATCAATTTAAAATAATTTCGTTTAAGTTTATTGAACAAGGAAATATCAAAAGTGATTTATCAATAGAAAATTTACGTTCTAAGCTTGGTATAGTGTCACAAGAACCAGTTTTGTTTGAAAGGACAATTGCTGAAAATATTGCATATGGTGATAATACTAGAGAAGTAACAATGATTGAAATTATAGATGCTGCTAAACAAGCAAATGCGCATAATTTTATTTTATCATTGCCAAATGGATATGAGACAAGATTAGGCTCAAGAGGTACACAACTTTCTGGTGGACAAAAACAACGTATAGCTATTGCTAGGGCATTAGTTAGAAATCCAAAAATTTTATTATTAGATGAAGCAACTTCAGCTTTAGATTTACAAAGTGAAAAGGTAATTTACTAAAAAAAAAAAATGATTTTACAAAATTTTAGGAGTTTTGTCAAAAAAAATTGTACAACTTTTTGTGTTGTAGCTTGTTCAATCCGCTTTAGATGCAGCATGTTCTGGTAGAACAAGCATTGTTATCGCACATCGTTTGTCTACTGTACAAAATGCTGATGTTATATGCGTCTTTGAAGACGGAAAAATTGTTGAAATGGGTAATCATCAAAAATTAATGTCTAAAGCTGGCATTTATTATCAATTATATAAAACTCAACCAGCTTTGAATTAAATTTTTCTTTTTCGAATTCATTTTTTATCTGAACAATTTGTAGTTTTAAGTTGATTTGAATCAAGTATTTTGCCATATTTTATATATTATTTTTACATATTAAAATTTGTTAGATCTACAGTATTATTTTTATTTTTTATTAAATAAAATTTTTTCTTATTTATGCTTTTAATTTATTGAAAAATTTATTAGGCTATGATTTCGTCGCACGTGAAAAAAATGTGATCCCTACAATTTATTAATTTGGCATAATAAATTGTAAACTTTCTTATATTGCAAATTCTTTTAGCTTTTACTGCAATTTTTCTTTATGTTGATCGATTCCCAATCGAACTGTACCTTTTATTGTTCTAATTTCGTTTTTAGAAATTTCTGCACTTCCAGAAGCAAGTGTGTAATTATATTCATTCAAATTATTCGATATGACGGAATGATAGGAAAGTATTTAGACAATGTCCATTACTCAATAATTCAAAATGTTAAATGAGGCACCAACATTGCTTATTTTCATAATATTAACACTTTTAAATTTCATTCACGCACTAAAATTTTTGCCATATTTGCGCATTGAACGTAAGAGCTATGATTGCGTGGGTATTGAACGTGTTTTTAGATTTTAAAAATTTAAAAAAGAAATTTAAATTTTCATCAAACTCATTGTTTGTATCTAAATCGAAGTTAATACTATACATAACTTATGGTTAATTTTAAATTAATGGTGAAAATTACATTTATTAGCTAAGTTTGAAGTTTGTTATGAAGTTATGAAGTGAAGCATCAGTTAAGTTTCCCTATTAAACTACCAACGCCCTCAATGTTGATCATTGTAAAATTTAATACTCTGTTAAAACTTGATGGAAATTCAAATTATGAATGTATATCAAAAAAAATAAAACAGAAAAATTAATTTATTAAATTTATTAATTATTACTTAAAATCTAATTTGGTTTTTTTTTTTGTAAATCATTTTTTTCTTTAATTAATAATTCGTTATAGAATTTATTTTACTCTCTTTTTTTTTGCATTTCTATAAATATTATATTTGTTTTAGTTGTTACTTTTATTTAACTTTTTATACATTAATTTCCATTTCTTGCTGTAATTTAATTTTTGAACTTTTGCTTTTTTAACTACTATCTGGAAATGAAAATTTGTTTTGCATGTTTCAAGAAGAAAATTAAAATTTTGCATTTTGTTTTATTTTTTTTTGTGTTTTTCTTTTAAATCACTTGGTTAAAAATTCTTTTATTTTTTATACTAAATTATAATGATAATTTTTTTATATACTTTTATTCTTTTATAATTTATTCTAAGAGTTAAAAATAAATGTTAAGGTATATAAGGAGTTCTTGTGATATTCAAAACATTTCTAGTACACTTTTCTTATTAAAAAAAAAAATTTACAAAAAAAAATTTTTTATTTAATTATTTTCTATGTGATAAATTATGAGAAATCAATATAATAATAGAAATTTACATATTTCTTATAATTATATTGTAATTTTTGATTAAAAATATTTTACATGTTTTTACTGTAATTTATTTAAAAAAAATAAAAAAAAAAAAAAAACAGATCACATTGCAAAAAAAAATTGTATTCCTTTTTCAGAATTTGATAATAAAATACAAATAGAACCCACACTTGATAAATAAATGATCAGATCAGATCAGATCAAAAAAAAATTTATTATTTTTTATTAAAAATTTTATCATAATTTCCGTACTTAATATATTTATGAGATTTTAAAAAATACTTAAATACAGACAAATTATAAAATTGTTTGATATTAAAGGAAGAAATACAATTTATTTTTTATTACAAATACGACGTTAACTTATTTGCGAAAAAATGTATTTTACCACAATTTTTTATTTTTGTATTTCTATTCGTTATTTGTATTTTTAATCTATTTTAACATTTGAATATATTTTTCGCACAAATATGCTCGTTCCAACATAACCGACTGTACCGCATATGATACCTAAACCGCCACTAAATAGCGCCATATATCCGAAATAAAATGTTGTTTGAAATAGACCATACATTCTAAAAAATATATATATATATATATTTAATGTAAATTATATCAATTTTATTTAAAAAAAAAAAAGAAAATATTCTTACTTTGTTTTGAAAAAGAAATAATAAAATGAATAAGCGTAAACATATAATGAAGTTGATGCTGCGGACAGAAAACTTGTCCATTGCCATCTATAATCTTCTGCATTTAATAAGAAATATGTACAAACGATTGTTACACATATTGTAACAACCATTAATATCGAGAATACAAGTAACATAAATCCATATACGTAATATATTTTATATGCCCAAAATGACGTAAATATAAAGTACCTAAAAAAAACCAAAATAATCAAACTTGAAAAACTAACTTAAAAATTTGAAAAATTGAAAATAATTTACATCTCAATAAATATTGAACCAAATGGTAAAACACCCCCTAATAATATTATAATGCCTGGTTCCATAAACCATTTTTTTTCAGGTATTGGTCTTGGCACAGCATTTACACGACATGGAAAATCTGGTTGACCATCTAAATTACGTCCAACAACTGTTCCGACAACAGTTAATGGTAATATGATAAATATACATATACATGTAACAGCAACCATTGTACCAAATGGTATAGCTCTTGATGCATGATAATAAATAGCTATGAAATTTATGAAAAATGCTGTTCCGCATACAAACACTGGTACCATAAAAGCTGAAACTAACATTTGTCTTATCCAAACTTTACCACCTAAACGTGCATATAATGAACCACCAAAATAACCATTAATTGGAGATGTTGCAGCATATACAAATATTGCTGTTGATAACATTGAACCACGCCTAAAATCACACAAAAATATAAATTTCGATAATACCATAATTAAAAAATATTAAACGACATTACTCAGTATATAATTCTCCAATGATTGCAAATAATATTACAGAAAAAACAACTGAAGTTAGTTGATAACCTGCACCAATCATTGCTGAAAATATTAAAGCATGTGGTGGTGAACGGAAAACATCCCCGTGAACTTGTTTCCAACCATATTCATCTCCTAAATCTCGCTCCTATAAATAAAATTTAACAATAAATCGGATAAAACCTAATATAACTATATATAATTGCAAGACAAAATTTTTACAATCAATTTATTTCCAATTTCTTTTTTCATTATAATGAAAGCGGAACAGAATTATCAGTATGTTTTTAATAGATAAGAACATTCCCAATAGTTTTTAAGTGAAGATAAAAATAATAAGTTTTGAAAGAAAAATAAAATGTTAACGTGATAAAAAATTTACGTGTTACAAAATTAAATAGAAAATTTATTCAAAGGCACGTTAACAAAAGTTTTCAATTCAAAATATTGAAAATATTAACAGATTTGATCTATGTATACATTTTCACTACTTACAGAAATACTTGTATTAGAAATCTTGATTTTGGCATATTGCCAATTATAAGAGTATTCTTTATAATAAAAATAATGTTAATAAAATTACCATATCATCCATTTCTTCATCCTTACTGTATCTGGCATAATCCTTTCTTAAAGTTCTCATTAAAATCATAGAAACTAATCCTACTAAAAATATGACCATCATGAAACTATTAAAAATGCTAAACCAATGAATCTAAGGGAAAAAAATTTAAGGTATTTTGTTATAAAAAATCAAATAAATATTAAATAGAACAGTGAACTTACTCTGTGTTGGAAAAAATTTGGATCTAAATATTTATCAAATCGATTTTCAAATTTTACTGTACTAGGTTTCCAATTTACTTCATATGTAAATTTAATTTTTTTTCCAGGTGCTAGTAATTCTTTACTTTCAGGTGTTAAATTAATATCAACAATTTGTTTACCATTATAACCTATATCGAATTTCTTGTGCGTATATATATAATATTTTTTATCTTTTTCATCTTTCTCTCCAACTTTACCCCATATTGGTAAACCATCAATATACATTTGATACCAATAATCATTTCTTACAGCATACGTAAATGCATTCACTTTATCATCATTTAATTCAACCATACAAACTTCTTGTTTTGGAACGTTAACTAAAAAAAAATTATGTATTTGATTAGAAAGTATTTTATTTAATATGATTCATAAGAAACTACTTATAACAATTTTTTATACTTACTTGTAAAATCTATTTCGTATCCACTGAATTCTAGTTCAACTCCTTGGAGGGCCTCGCTTAATGTTTCATGATAATGGCTAATGCTTTGTTTATTTCCAGCACAGAACGGAAGTGAAAAATATGCATAAGTTTCTTGCCGATTTGCATATGGCCCTACTGTATTCATCCATAATACAACCTCTTCACGATCATTATACTAAGTAAATAAAAAAAAATTCTTTTCATAATGTTTAAATTTAATTCTTTTGTAAAAAAAGAAAAATTCTAATACAATTGTACAAATAAAGCCGGCAAATAAACTGCTCGAGTGGCTGTTTTGACGTAGTTAAAAATTAAAACAATAATTTTTAAAAAAACATGAATTTTTTTTTATAGATAGGTACTTGAATTCTAGATTAGAATAGTTTTTAATGTTTTAAAGCTTTGATTTATTTTTCTTACCACATGATTATGTTCATCAGCTTTGATACCAAATTGTAATAAACATAAACAAAATATTGCTAAATGTGCGATAAACATTTTAAATTTATTCTGATTAGTGAAAATTGATATTAATAAATCTTAATTATATATTTTTTTAACTAGAATAATTCATCTTCCTTTGAAGTTTACTTTATTTTCTTTCCCCTTCTGTCTAACAACTAAACACGTCACTTAAGTAAATTTTGACAATTAAATAATATGAAAAATATCAAAACATTAGACATTTTATTTGACAATAAAACTGCTGTAAACACAATATTATTCCGCGACCCAAATGAAACGTGTTTTATAGAATGTCAAGTCGATAAAATTTTTGGATTAAGAAAAAGTTTCGAGTACAAATACATACCAGTATGCAATGTTATGCCTACTTTCATAATATTTCTTTAAAACAATTTTAAAATTAATAATAGTAAATTTCGAAATTCTTTATTTGATTTCTTACAATTTTTTTATTAAAAGAATTAACAAAGCAAGTAGAAATTTCTCTTTTTTTCACGGCTATGCGCTTCTACGTGTTCGCTATAATTTACTGTTACTATTTTATCGTTAGTCTACACCGCTATCATTTTATGGTTTTTGTCTATAATAAAAATAAAAATAATATAAAAATGACATGAAGTGCGACATCTACAAAATAATAGAAAAGTTTTTGAAAACATGTAACTTACTAGTGTTTTCAAAAGAATAAATTAACCGTTAATACATATTAAGTTTTTTCCTTGATTTTAATTACAGAAACACTCAATTTTTTAGTATTTTTTATTAGTTGCTAAAAAAATTGCTTTTCGAAATATGGCACGTAATGACTTTTAAAGTACGCGAATTTTTATGACTAAACGATTTATGCAATATTGGTCATGTATTTTTTATTAATATTTTGTTATTTTTCCATCTTGAGGTTGAAATATGTACTAATATTTTTTTTTACCTCTTCCTTGATCCATATTGAAGATATGGGATGTATGTACGCATTCATAAATGTTCTATTTTAGATTTAGGTTAATTTAACTCAAGTTTCGAATATTTTACTGTCCCAAAAAGCTTTAGTGTACACAATCGTTGAAAGATCCCCTACTAAATATGCTGTAAACCACTTTTGACCGTATAATTTAGTAGATTAAAGTTTATTATATAAATTATAATATTAAAATTACTTAAAAATTATGGTTATCTACTGAATTAAATTTTCATTGTCCTTGAAATATCATTTTGGAAAATGCGGTTTAAAGCGTTATTATAATCTAATTATTTACTTTTTAATATTTTTGAATTTCAGTTCGTTTTATGTGTAGCATTAAATAAAATAATATTTTTTTTAAAATAAATAAATATTAATATCCTTTTATCACTTTATCATCAAAAATATAATTCAAAATCTATTTATGACATTTTAAAAGTATTTTATCCCATTTCATTACAAGATTCTTCTGTTTTGTTGTTTTTACTCTCATAAAAAAAAAAATATTGAAAAAAAACAAGAAAAACACTTTCAATCCAATTTACATATGTAAATATGAAGTGGATAGTGAGAGAGAGGGGAAAAACAAAAGCAATAAAACAAATGAAAAATATGAAAAATTTAAAAAGGATAACGGTATTATCTAAATATTTTAAAACACTTATATATATATTCTTACTATTGCACTCTTCTACATATTTAAATTCGAATATTTAAATAATAGCTATGTGTGTATGTCAGAAGATATATAAATTAATGTTTGAGTGTATGTATAGGTATAGGTATTGTCATAAATCGTTCTTTTGATATTTCTTTATTATTTTTAATCTGTTGTATAGAAATATTTTCATTCGCTTATTCTGAATAGTTGATTTATATAATATAAGCACAAAATGTTTAATAAAATAGTAGAAATGTAATTTTACAAGAAGTGTAATTTCGTACATATAACAAATATTGAGTTGAATAGAGAAAAATTTTAATAGCAAGACGGGTACAATAACGAATATTGAATTACAGATTATATGTAGAATGTATACCCGTATTTATTTGAGATGATTTTGACATAATAAAGAAATGGATCATTAAGTCAAGGTTATAAACCACGGAAATTGTTTTAAAACGTCAATTATGTATTTTATATATAAAAATAATTATATACCATATTTGCCAAAATATATAACAATAAAAAATCTGATCTTCTAAATCTAAAGGAACCGTTACCTGCCAACAAACTTTATCGGTAAGAGGAATGAGACGCTTGTCAACCATTGATATAAAAGTCGTCGTGTAAACACAATGAATAAACCATAAACAGAAAAATTAGTTCGACTTGAAATAACTCAGCTTAAAAGTCACCTTTAATTAATGGTATTGCCAGGTCCTAGAATATTTTATAAAATTTAAATTTATTTCAATTGTAAATTATTAGACAATTCTCATTTTTTGTCTTACTTTTTTTTTACCTCTACCTATTTACCTTTGCATATAAAGTGAACTATAATATCTCTAGTGTTTTTATAATAAAATTTCAATAAAATTTCTTATACAATAAGTTAAAATGGAAATTCATTATTTTAATTAAATTTCAAGAAAAGAGAGAGGGAGAGAAAAACAAAGAAAATCTATAGAAGGAATTATTTTTTAATTATTTTCTTACTTATATCAGTATTAATAAAATGTCACACGTACATACCTATATATTTATGTTCAATGGTTTTGTTTTTAGAATTTTCAATTTTCAAACACTGTTCTTCTAAAAAATTTCAGTGAACAAAACTAACATAATAGCTAGAAAGAGAGAGATCGGAAGAGAAAAAGGAGAGAAAGTGAGGAGACTTTATATGTGAATTGAATCATTCAAGCAAGAAATTGAAAAGTTCTTGTCTTTCTTCCTAGTTCTTTAGCTTTTTTTTTTTTAATTTTCGTGCCTTTTTTGTCCCGTTTGGTCCACTGTATGACAGACAAGGATAATATTTAAATAATTTTCAATTTGTTCGTTTTTTTTTTTAAATTATTTTTTTTTTGTAATTTTTTAGTTTTTTTTTTTAGATTTTATTACGTTTCTCTACCATGAATCATAAATTTTCTGGGATTTACTTTTTAAGTTCGTTCACTTGAATTTTCTTTATTATTATGAATATTTTTTTTATATACATAACTATATTTTTTGTTTCAAATATATGTGTATATGAATTGGCGAGAACGTGTAGGTGTTATATTATTTTATATAGAGGTGATATCCGTATTTGTATGTTGGCTATTAAAATAATATTAGAAAAATTTTTTTAACATTCAAGATTTTTATGCCTTATACTGCAAGTTTAGTAACTTACTGTATGGAACCTATCTATTCTCCATTATACTATTTAAGAAAATATATATTTATTGTATGTATGTATGTATTATGTAAATTAATACATATTTGGGACTATGGTATGTAATTTAGTTGACAATTGTATGGATGTTGATTTCATTTTAGAAATTTTGTGGTAGGTATAGTTATAGATATATGGCAAGACTATTATAATATGGTAAGCAATTTTAGAGAATTGTTTTTTGCAATCATAATGTTCTTTACTATTTTTTTTTTCAAGAAAATACAATTTGAGTGAAATGCGATAAATTTCATTGTTGGTTTAGAATGTGTTATGTAAAAATTGTGATTGAATATTTGGGCATCACTGGTATTTAAAAACTGACATAAATGTAATCTGTTTCTAGTTACTGTTGCGTTTTATTTCAAATTAAGTATTTCTGGAAAAAAAATTATTCTAAATAAATTATTAACAAACATTAGCAAGAATTTGTGTTATAGAACAAATTTTGCAACATGAAGTTTGAAATTATTTTATTGATGTACAAATTAGTTGCAATTGCAAAAAAATTTTGAGGACAGCGTCCCTTTGGTGTTGAAGAGTAGTACGAAAGAAAGGTTTGTTGTGAATTCCATAATAAATTTAATTTTTGTTTTCATTATAGAGTCTCAGTCCCAAATTGGTACGGTACCTGCTTTTATGTCTTGGAGTTCAATGGTATTTTATTAAAAGCTGCATTTAAACATTTATTGAATTCAAGAAATATTTTTATTACAATTGATTTTAGTTTTCTATACAAAGTAAGGAATTGCAAGCGGCGTATTAAGACCGTAAAAATCATGATTTTCAAGTGGAGCTCCTTATGGGATAATAAAATGGGTAATAACAGTAGCAGCGAAATCAAAGTTAGGCAACCCTAGTCGTGATATCATGATAGAATAAAAATGCTGATAGAATTGGCTTAAACAAATTTCGGAAAAATTTTATTATTTTGGATTCTTGCAATGATATTTTCTTAGCAATAATAGATTGATTGTTTTATCCAAAAAACCAGTATGCAAATAAAGGTCTCATTTAGTTCATAACCTCACTTTGTATTTGCTAAAATGAAGAATGGCACCACAACAACTTTTTGAATTTTTTTAAACAAAAAAATTGCATTTTCTGTGTCCTATATCTTATGAATGGAAATTGGATTTCTTATTTAGCATTCATTTATTTTTTGTGCCGGGTGATCGTTATGCTAAAAAGTCCTTTATAATTTTTTCTTTTAATATTTATTCTGCTTTCTTTTTGATTTTTATGTGTAAGAGAACATAATATTCACTTAGTATATAGTAGAAGTAGAGTTCATTCAAATAAAATTTACGAGTTGTGAATGGTTAAAATAATAACAGTAGTTAAAAAAGCAAGTTATATATAGGAAAAAAATTACTGTTAAAAAGTTTCGATTTAATGTTTTTCTGGTTCTGGAGTTTTTTTTTGCTGATACGGCAAGAAAGAGTAGTGGTTTTTTGCTGTAGAAATGCAAAGTAAAATAAAATGTGAAATTAATTACTTGGCATTATTGTTGTTGTTATTATTATTGTTACTGTTATAACATTTTTGCTGTTGTTATTGTCGTCGGTTACGTTGTATCCTTTCTACTGTATTCCCTTTTGGTTTACAATTTAATTAAATGTTATTTTGATTGTTTTTTTTTGATATTTTTTTTAAATTAAGTCCTTTGTGTAGTTTTTTTGTTAAAAGTAGACATCTTTGAAAAAATTTTTTATTTTCCAGATTTTAACGATATTTTTTTTACATATTTGGATTTTTTTTTATTTTAAAGAAATCTATTGTAGGTTTTATTATGAGGATTTTGGTTGTTCTATATTT